GACAATCTCAATGGAAAATATTTAATGAATGCCTCTGGGCTCAGGAGAAAAATCATTCCCATAATGACAAGAAGAGGCATCTGTCTCTAGCTCTCTGCTGGCTGGCACTGCAGTACAGCACTACCTGCTGTGATGCCCAACACGCTTCAGCCCAAGCTAACAATTCAAATGCTGCCACTGAAGGTGTTCTAGAAAAAAGCAGAATTATTCAGACCATTGAAATCTGTACCGACTTCTAAGAGGATTTTTATTTTGACAAGAAGAAAAAGCTAAAGCTTACCATTATTTTTTCAATCTGGCTATGATTTATAATGGCTTCCTGCCAATGGCAATTTGAAGGCAGAGTTATACCTGGTTTTGCTCTCAAACAATACGAAAAGCAGGATTTGTATTTTGACAGTTTTGAAAGAAAATGAGTTTTTTTCTAAAATGCACTCCGCTGAAAAGGGCAACAGATTGGATGTTTTAAGATAATTGTTCTTCTTAAAATGGAATCCTTCAACTTTTTCAGTCTGTCTTAAAGGATCAAATCCAGTAATTTCTGCCTCCTTGGATCTTTCTCAGCCAAATCATGAGGGTTCTAGTCATGTCAAAATTGGATTCTTGAATTTGCCGAATTCGTTCTGTAGAAATAGAGTAACAGGTCTCTAACACCTGTTTTGCATAAAAGTCTGGAAAGGCCTGCTCTTACTCAAATTGTAATTTTGCTGTTTGGGAAAACAGCATTAGAAACTTGTGACTTATAGCAGAAACAATCAAGCTATCATTTTGAAACCAGTGTGGCAGAAATCTTTGTACTAAATAAAGTCAGGGGAAGAAGAGCAGAAAAGTAAGTGCCTGTTTTATTTGAGATTGATATTTAAATCTAGAAGTCCACTTCAAAAATGGGATTGACATTTGGACAAGCACACAAATGTCAGACTGTGCTTTTTTAGGCTTGGATCTGTTTAGACTGTTCATGCTTTAAGCAGCAGGTTTGAAGTGTTTGTACCTAAATTTGGATGGAAAAGTTTGGGCTCTTTGGAACAGTAGCTAGTATCTTTTCCATAGGAAAAACAAATAAAAAGTCTAAACCAACACAACAGTATTTCATTGTGGTTAATCATAAACTTGAGATATTTTTAAAATTAGAAACCCTGGATGTTTCTGCATAATGCAGTAGGATATACCAGGGTGTATCTGATAGCTGTGATCTTGCAGTATCACACACATCTCTTCCCATACAGCACAGGACTTTCTGCCACAGCCAGATGGAAGCTGTAGGGCAGAAGGTTTTAGACTTCTTTACTAGGCTTAAGTTGAGAGCATCGGTTTCTAACTTATCATTAAACTGATACTTCCATTTTGGTAGCTGTGCTAGACTGACCTTAAAACAATGGCACACATCAGCAAAGGTGACAGGTGTGAAGGTTCCTGTACTGATACACCAGATTCTTTCTGTGTGGGAATGATAGGTATGTTTATGTAAATCACTCAGAGTGGTATCAAGCTGGTTTTTACATATTGTTTGGAAAGAATTCTTATTTATCTTTGTCTGGAGGATATATCTTGTCCAAAGTTTAGAGATAATTTTTTTAGTATGTGCGAACTTTGTTTGGTGTGATTCTCCCTCCCGCTACTCAGTATTTCTAATACAGAGACAGATCTGCATTCTCACCTACCCTTGAAACAGGCACGACTGTGAGTAGGGCCTCTCCAAGGGGCACAACACATGGCAGTGCTTTGTTGTAAGCTCAATGCACTCATTGTAACTCGCAGGTCTTGTGGTAGGAAGGTCACTCTCTACTCCATGGCTATACACATATTGTGCCTGCTCAATACTGCTGCAGTATTTCATCGCAGTGGGAGCCCAGACAATAGGTCATGCCTTGCATTAATGTGTAGGATCTTGAAAAATCAATACAATTCAAATAACAGGGGACTGCTGCCCAGTTGTTTACTATTCCCAGGACACACAGAGCAGCAATGTCTGTGCCATTAAGCTGCCACTGAGCACATAGAAAGTACAATGTGTACAAAGAAAGTGCTCTCTGCTAACTTATGCCAATAAATCCAGAATCATGCATGGTCACATGTTATTGGGAATATGAATGGTTCCCTTGCTGCAGAGATCTCTTCAGAATATTTTCTGTAATACAAATATAAACATCAAATTCCTCAAAGGAAGGCCAGTTTCTGAGTCAATTTTTGCGTCCAGCAAGCCCCAGACCTAAGCAACTGTATCTCTTTTGCTGAAGACCTACTCTAACCATTAGAATCAACAGAAAGGCTAATTGATTTGAAAGGCTTTGGATAAAGCATCCAAGCTGCACTACTGCAATCACCAGAAAATTTATCGTTGACCTCAGCACAGGGTGAAATACCCGGGCTCTTGCTCAGCAGGTATTTGAGTCCTCACACGTAATTTATTTCATTATGAACCATTCATATGCCTAAGTACTTGTCAGATATGGAACAAAAGTGTGATGGTTGCCAGGCTGAGAAAGAGAGTAACTTTCAGAACTGCCTTTCTCCTGCCAACAGCAATGATATTTGAGAATAAGAATAAGCAAGTTCATTGTTTCCACCATTTTGTTACAATAGAGAATTAAGAAATAAGTGAAAGGAAAATGGAAGAATTTGAGAGCAACACTACAGAGAGAGGAGAGCTTCTATTCCTTCTCAGGGGACTTTCAAAAATATAAACAGTGACTTTTTATCTTCATTAGGAGTCTGTGTTTCAATTACAACCCAAGCTTTCCTAGGGCTTGCCTACACTGGAAAAATACATTATGTTAATTGATTAACATGTAATGCTTAATATAACAGTCAGTATAAACAAAGACTAAGGCTTTGACATTTTTTGTTTTGGTTGACCCAAGGTAACCCAGCTGCCAAACATGACAGTTCTTGTCTACACTAAGTGGTTTGTATCACCTTAATTAACGTGTTCTAACACTATGTAATTTTGCCATACAGATTAGTCCTTTGGGGCATTTATTCTGTACATTTAATTTTCTGTCTCGCCTATCTTGAATTTGCAGATATGCACTGCTTCTCCCCTCCCCCTTCTATCCTGAAGCCGCTATCATTGAAAATTGAAGAGACTTTGTAGGCATTCTCATTTCTTGCTTCAGCTTATAAACTGAAAGCTCAATCAATATACTATTTGTTTATGTCCCTTGATAGTGCTGATATTACAAAAATAAAGTTGATATTTTAATTCAGGAACTGCTAGTTCCGCATAGAAAAGTATAATCAAATACAAGCTAATTGAAGCTTTTGCGAAAATATTACAGATTGTACAGCTAGGCAGTCTCTTGGTCAACTCACACAGCCTATTCCAGCCAGAGGAGGGCACTTTGCAGCATTTCTCCAAAATCTACTTTTTCTATTTTGTTTTAAATAGAGAAGCATTCTCCTTACAAGAAAATGAAGGGAAAAAAAAAAAGAAAGAGAAAGCAAAAAAGTAGACAAGAAAGATATCATTAAACATTGAGGTTAAAAGATCAAGTTTATCTGGACTCTAGCAACGGAGATACTCATGCTGCACACATAATATTTTATTACAAAATAATATTATTTTATAATAAACCAAGTTCCACAGCACAACTGAAACTATGAAAAATACTAAATTGGTATGACATTTTTCATGTAAAATGCTATTTGGCTACATATCACTGATTCATTTCAGCATCTTCTGAAGGACACAGATCTTTGTCCATCCAGCACTCACTGCAGTCTGAAGTGACTATTAACTTTCTGATATACTCAGTTATATTAAGTGACTGAAGGCGTGCAGCACAGCCACATCAGCTCTCCTTGACTGTAACTTCACTGTCCAGAAATTCCTTTCTGAGAAATGAGCAGCTGAAACAAAAGTACTGCATTTACATTAATTGCCTCTTCTTTCTTTTTTTTTCTTTCCTAAAAAGATGGGGTAAGTGATCTAATGCATGAGTTTTCTAGGACTTTACATCTGTGACTTGGTAACTTTACAGCCCAGCTAAGGTGCTTCAGCCTAATAAATGTTGAGAGATGTGATTCTTCTCCTATACTCTGCTCCCATAAGGCCCCACTTGGAGTCCTGCATCTAATCCCCAGCACAGGAAGGATATGGACCTCCGTACAGGAGAGGTGTGAAGTTCCTGGAGCAGGTCTAGCCGACAGCTACAAAGTTGGTCAAGGGACTGGAGCATGTCTCTCATTAAGAAAGGCTGAGGGAGCTGGGCCTGTTCAGCCTCAAGAGGAGGCACCTGAGAGGGAACCTCACCAATGTCCATCAGGCTCTGAAGGGAGGGAGTCCAGAGGATGGACCAGGCTCTGCTCAGTGGCACCAGGCAATAGGACAAGAGGCAATGAGAAGAAAATGATGCACAGGAAATTCCACCTGAACATAAGGAAAAATTTCTTTACTCTGTGGATGACTGAGCAGTGAAACAGGCTGCCCAGAGATGCTGTGGAGTCTCCCTCACTGGAGATACTCAAGAACCATCTGGACACAATTTTATCCATGTGCTCTAGGATGGCCCTGCTTGAGCAGAGAGGTTGGACCAGGTGACCCACTGAGCTCCCTTCCAACTTCATCTGTCACCTGATTCTGTGACCTGTTGGAACAAGTTCAGAGGAGTGACACCAAGATGACTGGACGGATGGAGCACCTCTCCTGTGAAGAAAGACTGAGAGCAGGGATTGTTTAGCTGTGAGAAGGCTCCAGGGAGACCATACAGTTTTTCACGGTGAGGGTGGTGAGGCACTGGAACAGGTTTTCCAGAGAAGCTGCAGCTGCCCCGTCCCTGGAAGCTCAAGGCCAGGTTGGTCACAGGAGCAGCCCAGTCTGGCGGAGCTGTCCCCGTTCACGGCAGGGTTTGGGGCCGCCACCACGGCCCCGCTCCCTGCCGGCCCCGGGCACAGCGAGGGGCGGGGCGAGGGGGCGGGGCTGAGCCGCCAGGCCCCGCCCCCTCTGCTCCCCGCCCGCCCGTCACGTGCGTTAGCGACAGGCGGCGGCGGCTCCCATTGGCGGAGCGGCGGGGGGCGTGGCCGGCGGCCGGTCCGTCAGCTGCGCCGGGCCCTGACAACAAAGGGCTCCGCGGAGGCGGCCGGGCGCGGGGCTGGACTGGCCGTGGTCTGGGTGAGTTCGCTTTGCGGGGAGCTACGGGCACCGAGCGCGCTGCCGGTGTCCCGGGTGTGATGGTCTCCCGCGGTCGGAGCGGTGGAAGGCAGCACCGGCGGAGCCCCCGTTTTCCCGTGCGCCCATCCCGGCTTCTCTCCGCTGGGAAGGCGCCGAGGCCGGGGGCTTCTGGCGTTTTCCCAGCTATGGAGCAGGCGGTGGTCTCGTCCGCCCGCCCCCGGGCAGCCTCGGGAGCGCAGCCGGGAAGGTGCGCAGCTGCCGGGGCTCTGCCGGGTCGCTGGACGCGGCCGTGTGGAGCCTCCTGGTGGCGGCCCGGGGGTGGGGGCGCGGGGGGTCTGCGGCTCGGCTAACACAGGAGCTGCGCTAGAACTGGGAGGTGTCTTTTTCTGGTTGTGTTGTGTTTTCTTTTTGCTTAGCATATATTCCATCTCTTTTGCTGGGTTAGAAACAAAAAAAAAAAAAAAAAGGAAAAAAACTTTTTTAGTTGCAGCGATACTGTATTGTTGACATTCATTGGATGTGTTATCTATAACAGCCTCTTAGTCATTTCTGTAGCTGAGTCAGTTGCTCCCAGGCTTGTGTTTTCCTGCAGCTGACAGTTCCTGTCTAGGAACCTCTCTGGGTGTCTGTCCTGCTTTCCTCCCCGGACGATGGCCCTTGAGAACAGCCTAACTTCTCTTTTGCTGTCTGGCTTGCACAATAGCACACAAGCGTGGCCTTTTTAAAGGCGCTTGTCCAAAAGGATGTCAAAGCATCAGCCACTTTCTAAATGTACCGTGGTTTAAGCCCAGCTGGGGATGAAACCAGGACAAAATGATTCACATGTTTTTTTGGATCCTCCTTGGGGTGGGGGAAGGGAAAAATGGGACAAACTGCTTTTGATCTACAGAGAGTAATTTGTGGGTCAAAAGCTGAGGTTTGTTTCACTCACATTCTGGGGAATAGTGATCTCTTATTTGTAGAGGTTAATTATTTTATGTTGCTGTGATGCCTTGGGAGCCTTTCTAGAGGGAATGTGAGCTCTCATCTTGCTCGTCTCTGTGCACAGAACACAAAGACAGCCTCTGCCTGAAGGTACCTCCAGGCTTCATCTAGGAAGGAGGCAACACACATGTGTGGGAGTATAGGGAAAGCCAGTGCTGATCAGCAGCCATGCAATGGCTTACTAGTTAGCCTAAAGAAAAAACAAACTCGTTTTTTCATAGGCCTGGTGCCAGGAGAGAGGGAAGGATGTGGAAGGTAACTGGAAAACTACCGACTTCAAGCTTTCACTTAGAGTTCATTTCCTTATCCGTAGTAAGCTCTGCCTCTAACTGAAGCACTCAAACCTTCTTGAGAAGGTGCTTAGGAACACTGTAGGCATTTGGCATTTCCTTATGTAAGCCATACATGGCTTAGCAACCTTAATGGTTAAAAGTGTTTCCTGCTGGCAACCACTGAAAGTTGAACTTTGCTGCTGCTTAAAGCCACTTCTGCTTGCTCTGGGAATAAAAGAAGGCAATAAGTGTTTGCCTCTTTCTTCACATAATTGACTACTGTTGTAATTTTTTTCTTCCCTCTATTAAGCTTTCCAATTTTTAAAATTTTGTTGGTTTTCTTTAGACTTCTGATCATTTTTGTAGCTCTCTTTAGGAGAGACCTGATGTTTCATTTTCAAGTGTGGTACTTAAAAATAGACCTGTATTACTATTGCAACTGAGCCTGTTGTTTCTAGTCCTCTAGTCAGTCTCTTCTCTTGAGGAACTAGAGTGCATAACTTCATGAGTTTTACTGTACCTTTTCATATTGCTCCTCAAGACTATTATAATTCTGCTCTTATCCTTCTGTGTTGTCTGAATAAGGAGGAAGCTGCATAAATGTATACAGGAGCAGTGCTGCATGGAGCAAGTGCTTGTCCTTACCTTGAACAAGTGGGTGATGGGGTCTGGTTTCCTGGGATAAGATGACACAAGAGGCCCAAATGACTCTTTAGTATGGCCTGACAGTTCTAGGGTGAAGCAGGGTATACTGGCCTATATATAAACAGTATTCTTTCTGGGTTATATCTTTTAATACCTGGATTTGTCTACTGTCATGTATCTTGCTCCCTTTCTGAATGCAGGCACTCATACTGTCTTACATGGATATATTCTTCTGAGTTTAATTATTAAACAGGTATTTAACCTGTAATAATTCTGACCTACTGTGATGATTCAAATATTGCTATGGGCAAAAATAACTTGTAGTTAAATTGGTGAATATTTTCCCCATAGTTTTTAGTTTTTCACCTGCTTTAATGGCTTCTATTTATTGGCTTATACATAAATATCAAAGGCTGTGAGTGTGCTGATCTGAGGTGTTTAAACATTCAGCTTCGTGGTACTAATACAATTTTGTTTTAACCGCCAGATGCAGAGGTCAGGTTTGTGGTGACCAATTACATGTAGATTTAGGGGAGTTAATTGAGAAATAAGCACTGGTTTTGTTAAACATACCCCATACTTTTCCATGTTCCTTAGACTTAGGATACATGACTAGTTGGGTGGTTGCTGTGAAAATGATTTCACTGTTAACTGTGGTGTACTTTGAACCTGAAGACGGGATGTGCCTTGCTACTGTGTTAACTTGTAGTCAGCAGCCCTGAGATGTGTATGATGGAACAGAGAAGAAACACTGCTTTGGGCTTCCCTGGGAACCCTCACAGGGGCTCCTCTGTGTCAACATGAGATGAGTTTCTGGAGCAGAAAATATGCCCTTGCCTTTGGTGTCTCCCTGACATGCAGGAAGACAGGGAGGGAGCTGGGGGAGTGTGGACAAAAGAGTCCTGTACAAGAATCCTCTCCTCCCTTAGGAGAAGGTGGGATTGACAGCTGAACAGATATTTTCTTGGGGAGGAGGTCTGAAATGAAGGCAGTCAGCTCCCAAGAGAGACTTAGGATTGGCTTTTCTGTGTGTATCTAGCTGGGAGGGGAGGGCGAATGCCAGTGAAGCTGCCTTTCTTCTTTGGGGAAAAATGTTCACTGGTACCTCAGACTGCACTAACAAGGAGCTTTTAGTTTGTTTCCCTAGGGATGTTACCTGTGGTTTTGTCATTAAGATGCTTGTCATCATCTTTTACAGGTTTCACGTAAACTGTTTACAAGTCATGCTTTTCCTGTACCTAAGCTGATAAAGCATCTATGCACTTTAGTCCCAAGTCTGTGCCACTCTGCTAGTAGTGTGAGCTGTGCCTTGAACCTTGGATATAAAGACTTACCAGCCAAAGTCTTGTTCCTGCCTTAGTAATGTTCCAGAGGTTAAATAACATGCTCATGGGAGAGATTGATAGCTTGTCCAGCCAAAAGCCAGAGTTCAGTGAGAAAGAAGATGACGAATGGATTCTGGTTGACTTTATAGGTAAGATGTCTTTCAGACATAAGTTCTGGTTTTGTCTTGCTCTGACTTTTGCTTGTCTTACTTGCATGTGAACAAACCAGTAGCTTGGGGAAACTTTATCTTAACAAAACCAGTGTGGGATTACTGTGCAGGGTGTCATCCAAACAAATGTTACATGTTGTGTAAATTGGTGAGAAAAATGATGTCAGGTTTATAAGCCTGACACAGGCTTCAGCAAAACCACTTGTACAAATAAAATATATTTGACTCCTTTCGCAATTATATAGCTTTACTGATAACAGTTGTTTCACATGTCTAACATGGCTTGTCTGGGAGCTCCTTTTTCCCCTCCCCTGCTTTTTAAAACTTAAAACTTGTGTATGTGCTAACAGGGCTTTTTTTTAAATTATTTTTTTCATATCCCATTTCTGGCTATATGGAACTGTGGTGTTCTCAACCTCCTGCGATCAACAACATCCGTGGGTTCCTCTCCACTGACGAATGGTCCCCTACAGCAGACGCTTGCACTAATTGCTCTGTGGAGGAAGCAGACCTTGTTGAACCATCAGCCACGGACAGCTCGCCTGTCTTCTCTTGTTTATCATCGCCCTTGGAACACTTGCCAGAGGCCAGCGAGTCTTGCTTCATCCAGTTTGAGTCATGTCCTATGGAGGAGAGCTGGTTTATTACCCCTCCCCCATGTTTTACTGCAGGTGGATTAACCACTATCAAAGTGGAGACCAGTCCGATGGAGAACCTCTTAATAGAGCATCCCAGCATGTCTGTGTATGCTGTCCACAACACCTGCCACAGCCTTAATGAGACTGCATGTGGGGATGAGGAGTTTCACAGCCCAAGTAGTCCCAGGTATGTCTGAATCCTCTTGATGAGGAGCTCTGGTGCTGAAAATATCTGGTTTCTCCTTGGTAAACTTAGACACTTAATACTGAATTTTCTAGCTAGTTTCAGGGTAGGTGAATAAAGCATGAATACCACATAATGTGTGTAGAGTGGTAAGGCCTGCTCAGAAAAATGTTATACAAGATGGCCACGTTGGCAAACAATTGGGTATGCATTTTGGCACTAGAGTAAATATTTATGGAGCCTTATTACTCCCTTGCAGAGTATGTTCCAGTCCTGTGCAAACTGGTGGCAGTTAACTCTATAGCCAGTAACATAGATATGAAAGCACTTTGCCCCCTTCACAACTTTGTGTGTTTTTCATAACTGCTATTTAGTACTCTTTCAGTCACCTTGTGAGATGAAACATAGAACTTTAATGATCCTGGCAGGGAAGTGGCTTGGGTTTAGATGGGAGGCTTCTTAGGGTTTTTTTTATTCCTCAACCTAGTGATAGATAGGGACAGGATTAAATTTACCCACAAGTGGCTTGTGGAGCCAAAGCAAACTGAAAGATTCACAAAACTTAGTCCTCTCAATGTGAAAGTCCAAGCTGCAGACTTGTATTTTTGGCAAAGTAAGAAGTACTTTTGGTTTTGGGTCCTAAAAAATCTATGTGCCTATTGTAGAGGTGTATTTGCCATGTACTGCCATTCTTTGGTGTTGGTGTATGCAGCTATACCAGTATAGTATACATGGCTGTATGCAAATAGAGTATTTTTTTGCCATTATGACTCTCCACTTGCCCTTGTGTTCATTGCTTTTGAAATAATTGGGTGTTTTGTGAATCCTGGTTAATAAGAGACTGACTTTTCATACCATCTAGTTCTTAAATTTAGAAACAATAATACTAAAAAAAAAAAAAAATCACAGTATACTAGGCTTTGATATACAGGAAGAAATTAGTATAGGGGTTGAGTTGCTGTAGGTATTGATTTGTCTGATCAGCCCCTTGCCATATTTAAGTTTTTAGTTTAAAGAAACAGATGACTTTGAGATGACACACTGCTGTATAATGTTAAAGAATAGTGCTGATACTATTGATCTTGCTGTGGGATTTGTATAATTATTTGGAGAGGACAAATGATGTTAATCTAGGTTAAGTTAAATTGGGGGAAACTGTGAACAGACAACATCTTTGCAATGAGGGTCTGAAGGAATCTGCAAAAGACAGTAAGCCACTTTATCTAAAATACCAGTTTTCAATTAATAGTAACACTCAAAAGTTGGATCCTGGCTTTTCAGTCACTTGAACTGGGGATACTTATGTAAATTCATACAGAGAAGAACCCTGCCTTGTGTTATACAGTACAGTTAACCTGCTTTAATGTGTGGGGAAGCTAGAGGTGTGCTCTTCAGCTGATGTGTAATTTTCTTCACACTGAACTCTGTGCTGTTGCCTTGTCAGAGGATCTAGGCTCTTGTACAGGGTATTTTGTATGACAACTGGGATGAGATTTAAGTCTAAAGTGAGGTAGACCACAGAATTTGGGAACATTGGTTACACTGATATTGCAGTAAGTTTCAAAAGCTGTTATGAAGTCTCTAGTGGTTTAATGGTTGGCCATTTAATATTGTAGGGCCAAGAAAAGCTGCTTAAGGCACACTGGCACAGTAAGTACTGCTGTTTTGGAACAGTGCTTTTTGTTTGATCAGGCTGCTAGCAACACTGCTTCCTCTAGAGCCTTGTCTGCCAAAGCAATACTGGTTTTAGGACTAACCTTTGTGCCAAATGATTACTTGATCAAGCCTAACTACATCTGCTTTAACAAGCCAAAATGCTAAGTGCATAAAAATTACTTAAATAATTGGGTTGGGGGTCTGAAGCCTTTAATGTTTCTTGGGAGGTGTGGTTCTGTAGCTCAAAGAGCAGGACACTTCTGCTTTCTAGCAAAATAGACCCTGGAGGTGCAGCAGAGAATGTATGTAGTGATGGTCTGGCTTAAGACACAGCCTCTCTAAAATTCCCTTTTGACAATATGATAGAGACTCATCAACTCTGTTCTCTCAGTGCATGGAGCTTACTAGTGCCAGCCTACCAAATGCACCCAGGATACCAAAATGCTGCATTTTGGAAGAGTAGGTGGCTGTTTAGCTAATTGAAACCACCTCTGCTATCTCAGTGTCACTTTATGATGACAAATAGAAGAGTGTTGGTTTGCAAACCATTACTGGAAGGGTATTTGATAAAAAGGGAGGAAAACCTTAAGTATCTTCAGCCAGCAAGTTTAAACCAGTCCTTCTCCTTTTGTGGAGGAAATGTTTTTTTATTTTAAATTCCTTTCAAAGCAAAAGGATGTTGTATAAACTTCCCTATTTGTCAGATTAGTCATATTTTTCCATAACAAAACCACAACAGTTTGTATTAACAGTTTCTGCCCTTTGCTAGCTAAGGGTATACTTAGGAAATACAGGTTGCAATAACTGTGGTGTGGCTTCCTGGCTCCTTAATAGCTTACCCCAGAAAGGCTTCACTTGCAGTTCCACCTCCAGCACTGTTGGATGTACTAAGGGATCACTTCACTTAGAAAATAGTAGTCCCATATTTGCACGTACCCTCAGGTAAATTAAACTGGTGAAATCTGCAAAGAATATATTTACAAGGCATTATGAATTGATTTGTGCTTGTTATTTACTTATTTTTTGCTTGATATTTCAAGTGCTAGGTTTAGGACAATATCCAGTGAACAAAAAGGGGAAGACCAGCATGTCACATATGACTGTTCTGCAGTCTCTAGTCTTCAGTCAGTCATATCAAGCTAATCAAGGATCCAAAAGCAAGATTAGGATATTTAAAATAAGAAAAAAGTAGAAGGAAGGAAGTATTCCCTTGCTAACAAGATGTATTTCCCTCCAGTGTGGAGTGGGAGGAGGCAGAAGAGCTTATTTTGTGTCAGGCACCTGCAGAGTTCCAGAGTTAAGGCTACCAAGGGTGTGCCGTGGCAGACCGTACTTATGTCTACAGAGACATCATACAATAATTGCAAGTTAAGCTCTTTCAGAAGAGACTTTATGATAAAGTCATGCTAGTGTTGAAAGATAGACCTCTTGCTCATGCCTGGGCAAGTTCCTGGTCTTGCAAACATCTTTCCTGGGCACCACTGCACAGTTGACAACTGGTTGTTAGGCCCTGAGTGGGGAGAGAGAAAGCAAGAAACTGCTGCCATTGGTCTCACACCAGCTCTAGCACTCAGATTAGGGTTTTGTGTTGCTTTTTAAATGGCTAGGCTATTTTAAACTTTACTTTGGAAGTTTCAGGAAATGCCAGTGATTGTTCTGTCAAGTAGGGAAGTCCTTTTTCAATATGTCAGTCATGGCTTGCATAGGCTGCTGGTTTGTTTTTCACTAGTGCATGATGAAGCAAAGGTTGGCCAAAACTGCTGACTCGCTGCTCATGAAATTTAGGGGGCTGGTTGAGGAACAATCCTTCTAAGTTATTTCTCATGTGTGTCACAACTGGTCTACCTTTCCATTCCTCTGCATTAACCTTTGGATTTACTTGTGTGGCTGACAATTGAAATGCACTTTTGTTAGTGTGCTTCTGATTTCAGGCTGAACCACCTATGTTCAAGATGAATTTAAACCAAACTTTGCCTAGTGGATAACACTCAAGTCTTCTAAAGCTGGAGCATTGTGACACACATTGCCTTATATTTCTGATTTGTACTGTATCTTGGGCTTAGGGAGGTGGTGTGGGGAAGAAAGAGCAGATAGAGTAAAACACCACAAGTCCTAAGGCTGTTGTGGGGCCCTCACACAGAAAGTGATTTAGCAGTGAGTAAGTGGCTTGACCTCACCTCAGCCCAAATCTTTGTCCAGTAGAATAAGGGTACCCTTTTGAAGTGCTGGACGTTGATGTCCATGTTCTAGCTTTTATTTTGCTTGTCTTTCCAAAGCACCTCAGTGGTGACTGATACCTACTTGTTACATTTTTAGACTGGAGGCCCGAAATGAAACAGGACAGCGTGTTCACTGCTACGTCACGGCTCTTGCTACTAGTTCAACTTTTCTGGAAAAAAACAAGAGCTTTCGTCCTACCCACTGGATAAAAGAACATAATGAAAGACACTATCTCAACAGAAACAGTCTCCGTCGCCTGAACCTGACCCGGGATTGCCACTCTCGGCAAATCAAGCACAACGGACTGTTTGTTCACCAGCCTTGCCAGCGTCAGTTCAATTACTGATGGTTCTTGTGGTTTTAATCTATGGGCTAATTGTTCCTTAGGTTACTCTTGTGTAGGTAAGTGTGGTCAATCTGAAGCTGATCGTCAATCCCTCAAACACAATCGTAACTAGTGTTGCATTCTTTTCAAAAGTTATATAAATCTTCAAACATCTTGCATCAAGTTCTAAATGTTGATGTTAAATATCAGTGTCTTGGAAGCCTATCAGTACTATAGTTTGTGTGCTGTTTTATAAACTATGATGTATAGATGGGTTCTTAGTTGGTATTTTAAGGAAACTTAACTGAAATGGAAATCAGTTACATTTTGCATTAATCAAAATGGAGTTAGAAATTGAGGTTAGCCACGTGCTTTAATGACCAGTACTTGACAGCTTGTATATCTGTCTGTATTCAGCATATATGATTATTTTCCAATAAGGAAATACTATAGCTGCCAGTGGATATTACATAGCTGCATTGAGCTGTTTCAAGAAGGACATCTCATCTAAATTCCTAGAACTTACTTGTGTTAGTGGGGTCTGTGTAGGTGAGCTGGGTACTTGATATGGATATTGAAAGAGGGTTAAATGTCCCACCAATATTATTACAGTACAACATGGTATTGGTGTTACAGATATAGTACCTTACAGTGGAGTGGGAAGAAAAGTGAACCTTTGGGTGTAACATGCAGATGCACAACACAGAGAACTGAACTGGGTTTTACTAGGTAAAGTTTTAGTTTCTCTATTTCTGTCTTTGAAGCATGTATTTCCCCTACCCTATCTTATTTAATCTCTAGTCTAGTTAAAGGAAAAAGATGGTGGATTGACCATTCTTTTAATCCTATCAGTAGCTGACTACTCTTCAAAGAAGTCAGGCTGATGGACAGCTATTTGAGCTACAAATTGGTATTAGATTTTTTTGTCTAATAAAAGTTGTCTCATATTTACTGATTGAGAGTAGCTCAGAAGTAGCTAGAAAGAAGCTTTTATTTGAAATTTTCTCTCTATGAAAATAAAATCCAAGTTAATGGAGACTGGAAATGAAGGGCAGTGTGAGGCAGGCAGAAGTGGATACTGAGCTAAACACAGCAATAACAGTATATAAAAATTAATTGATCAATCAGCCATGGTTGTTCTCCTAGCCCTTTGGAGGGAGGAGGACTGGATAGCAATTCTATGGACCAACAGGAAAGAAAAGCCATTCAAAATGATCAAGTAGTTTTCTTAAGAACATTGTGCAAGATGTTTTGGAAGTTGGCAGGCACTGCCAACTACAACTAGAGGTAAAGTTCACCTGTTAACAAAAGCTGTGTTGCACAGCAGCCAGTGGTATGCTGAACCCTGATAGATCAGTCTGGGAAGCAGATTAAATGGATATGGAAGTAAGGAAGCAGAAATCTGCACTGAAAGGGGGAAATTAAAAGTAAGGTTACCTTCTTTTTTGCCAGTGCTTAATGTGACTTGCTGTTTTCCCTTGCGTTTAGTGCCTAGGGCAATACAGTGTTAACATTACACTCAGCTGTGTCTTCCAGTAGTCCTTACACAGAAGATGGTAAAAGGAGTCATGTGAGGAGCCTTTGAAATAAGGCAAGGTCAATAGTATGAATTGTTCCAGGCCTATGAAGTATTTAAACTCAGCCAGATGCTTCAATTTCACTGAATCAAAACCTCAGCAATTCAGATTGATCTTGATGTAGTGGTACTGTTGTATGTTCTGCAGCTGGAATTGTTGTGGGACCTACATAGCATACAGGGAACAGCATTTATAACCTGTTTCACTGCAGATGTGCTGCTTCACTGCAATTAACGTCACAAAGGGATGTTGAAAATAATTAAATGTATAAAAGCAAGAGGTGCTTTCCTGGATGCACTAGTTTTTTGGTGAGGGGGGTTGACAAATTGAAGGAAAACAAAATTGGTCACATCATGAGTTTCCAAAAGAGATATTTTGTTACTGCTTTTTAGCAGTATGTACCTATGTCCATACAACAATTCTCATGTGGTCCAAATACTTTGGTTTATCTGCAAATAGCTGTAGTTTCACCAGTCTCTTATCTGTTCACAAGTACTCTTACTTGCCTCAGATTATCTACCTTTATCACTCCAACTTTTTGTCTAGCTTAAACTTCCTTATCCTTGCTGCCAACTTTCTAGCTCAGGAAAATTCTTTGCTTTCCTGTATTACTTTTCTTTATATAAAAGTAACTACTTTCCTTCAGCTTTAATTTTCTTAAAGTGCAATGAAGGAAGATGGAGTCTCCACCTCTCTATGTTGGAAGGAGTAAGTAATCCCTTAACTCCTAATGGGGAGATGGAGCTGAGAGTTTAAGGCTCCCAGGCATTAAAATGAGAGCCTTGGTCTGTTCTTCTCAGTAGGCAAGTTAAATGCAACTTTAGACTGCTCCTAGAATTGGGAGATACTGATCTTTTTATACTGCATTACTAGATGACTTTCTGGTGATGAAAACCTATATCTTTCAGGATATAAACTATTTTGTTGCACAAAGCTGTGCTTCTCAATTTGTAATATTGGAAACCATATTATTGTGTGAGATAGTACTACATCAATGGCTTTTTGTTAATTTGTTTTACATATTTATGTTGGTCTAGCCCTGTTTTGTGCCTGGAGCTATTGGGCAATTAGATTTGTTTTGGTTTTCTGTTTTAATAGTGAGCTGTGTGGCTTTTTATATGGTTTTTTGAATTGTATTAAAGTGTGTGTTTTTTTCTTGTAAAAGTGGAGGCCTTGCACTGTCTCATACTGATTGATATTCATGAATCTTGCAGAAATTGTATTTTCATATGTATTGGTCAATGGACAGATTTGCATTTTAAACTGTGCCTTCTACACAGCAAACTTGAAGATTCAAAAGGGACATTTCAGTTGGGATTAATACTGTACATCAGTCTATGCATATATGGCAGCTTTTCTCCAGAGCCACATCTCTATTTGTAGCAGTCCTTTTGATATGGAAGAATGTGTGGCTCTTATTTTTAATAGCTTAACACAAGCTGAAAACAGACAAAATACAGCACTTTGCCAAAAAAAAGTAGCATTGCTTAACCAGTGTATATTTACCGAAGTGATCTTCTGTATTTTGTTTTCATAGTGTGTTCTGCACACTGTGGGGAAACATGATCTTAACTCTCAATAAAAAATGGCCTATTAAAAATTGTCAGTCTGTTCTTTAATGTTACAGGTTAGTGAAAATCCAGGTGCCTGAGCATCTTCTTCAGGTGGCAGGTACAACTACTGAGGGTCTCAATGCTTGCTCCAGTGCAGCAGTTGCTCTGGGACTTGGTTTGCATTGCTGATCAGGTGATAATGTGCATCCGAGCAGTGTTGCACATCTCTGTGACTGCTGCCTTTCCTGATCAACATACAGGAACTCTGGAGGTGAACAGGACAGAGATAAAACACACATGAAGTGTGCATGGGGTGGGGGAATTCTTTCTGTATCTTGGCTGAAGCTCTCTTGTTTCAACTCATGCCCCACTGCCTTTCATTTTCCTGCCATGAACCACCATGAAAAAATCTGTATGGAAAGCTGCTGGTACAGGTATCCTATGAGGGGGCAGAGATGCTGTGCAGATGCCTGGGGATGGGGTTAGGGAAGGCAAAGAAAAACCACCTGCAGCTGAACTTGGCAAGGGACATGGAAGGCATCAGGCCTTCCACAGATAGACCAGCTGCAAAAGAAAGATCAGAGAAAGTGTGGGCCTGCTGCTAACTGGGACCAGAATCCATGTGACCAAGGACATGGAGAAGGCTGAGGTTCTCCCATGTCTTCTTTGCCTTGGTGTCTACTGGGAAGACCACCCTTTGGGACTGCAGGCTCCTGATGCCTGTGGGAAATGCAAAAGCAATGAAGATCAGCCCTTGGATGAGAAGTCTCAAGGTAAGAAATGCACTGTACAGTTTTATGGGATGTAACCATGATTGGTGAAGGAACTGGCTGATGTCTTTGTGAAGCTGTTCTTAATTGTCTGAAAGGATTTGGCAATGGACAGGATGCCTGAAGGCTGGGGAAAAGCAAGTGTTTTTCCCATCCTCAAGGCAGACAAGAAGATACAGGGGAGCAAGACTGTTCCCTTGATGTCTGGGAAGGTAATGGAGGAGATAGTCCTGGAAACAATTTCCAAAATGAACAAGAAGGTGATCAGTAGTAGTCAGAATGGACTTATGTAAGGAAAAGCATGCCTGACAAACAGCCTTCTATAGTACTGAGCCTTAGATGACTGGCTCAGTGAATGAGGGGAGAGTGGTGGATGTTGTTAATCTTGCCTTTGTCAAGGCTTTTGATACTGACCTCCATAGCATCTTCCTGAAGCAATGAATTGTGGGCTGTGTGAAGCAGATGGTGAGCAGGCATGTGGAGAGCTGGCTGAACCCTGTGTTCAAAGTGCTGTGATCAGTGACACGAAGCCAAGCTGAAAGTTTGTTTTTACTGGTGCACCCTATCAATGCAGGATCCTTACACTGTTAGAAACCTTCATTAAGGACCTGGGTCACAGGGCAAAGTTGTTTATGCACTACAGGGCTGTGCTGCTATTCAGAAGGACCTTAACATGGACAAATGGGTTAACAGGAGCCTCATGGAGGTCAGTATGGGGAAATATGAAATCCTGTACCTGGAGGAACAAAAAAAACCCCAGGTGCCAGGCCAACTGTCTGGAAAGCATCATGGCAGAAAGGGCCCTGGGGGTCCTGGTGGACACAAAGTTGAGCATGAGCCAGTAGTGCATCCTCATGACCTTAGAAACCCAGAGCTTCCTGGGCTGCATCAGGCAAGGGGAGGGAGGTGATCTTGCCCCTCACCTGGGGCAAGTGAGACACATCTGAATGGCATGTCCAGTGCTGAGCTCCCAGTAGGAGAGGGCATGGATATACTAGAGAGTATCCAGTAAGAGGCTAGGGAATAATAGGATTGGAGACTGAAATAACCAGGAGAGGATGAGAGCTGGGATTATTTAGGCTGGGGAAGAAAAGTCTGGGTAATCTTGTCAAGGTATATAAACAGCTGAAGTGGGCAATAAAGACAACAGAGCCAGACTCTTCTCTGGTGCTGCCTAATGAAAGGACAAAAGGCAGTGTGTGCAAGCTGAAATACAGGAAATCCTTGGATGTAAGAAATGCCTCAGTAATCTTCTCCATGTTGTTATTTTGTCTTTTTCTGGAACTGTATGAATGAGTGGGGCTTTTTGCCTCCAGTCATTGGAGATCCTTGATCTCTGTGGATTTCCAAAGATCATGGAGAGTGGCCTTGAAATTACATCAGCCAGCTCTCTCAGCTGAGAGATTGGATATAGGTTTCCACAGATTTGTATGGGCTGATGTGTTACAAGTAACTTCTGATTTAATTCTCACCCACCAAATAAGGGTGACAAAATTATCTGCTGACAGCAGTGAAAAGGTATTTGTGCAACAAAGCATCCATCTTCCCAGAGCAAGAACTGAGTAAAATCTTTCTCTTTGAAATGTAGATTTTGTCCTGTACGTTTATCAAAGCAGCAAGTCTATGCTGAAAGCTGTACAGTATTCTTTGGGAGAAAGGTTGATCAATTATGCTTGTATCATTTTATCTCTACAGATAACCTAACATAGTTAAGCTGATAGTGTTCCTTTTGGGGATGCTTATTTCAGACCTGATGCAACTTTTAAAATTTGGCTTGGACAGTCTCCAAAACACCATGACCTAGTGTTTTTTGAAACTTCTCTGTGCTGAAGCAAAAATGTTTGTATGAAGTGTTGCATCAATGTAGCTATTGGCTTAAGTTCTCACTTTACAATCTAGTTTTTCTGTCTGTATAAAT